TACACTTTAAAAGGAGCCAGATGAAAGAGAAACAAAAAGACCACTTGTCCAATTAAGAAATTTGAGTTAAGTATTTAATAAATTAGTACTTTCTCTATAGATGAATTAAACAGTCTCCTATTAAGAAACCTCAGGTTGGCTCAATTATATTACCTTTACTCCAACTCCACCATTTTTCAGTGGAACCAAATCATAACTTAAGTTGTCCTTCTCCTTTTGAATGAAGGGGTCACTGAATGCTCGACCATGAAATCTCTTGAAGTTAGACACCGTATTGTTTGCATGAGTTATTTGCTGCAAAAGAAGTTTGAGATTCAAAATTTTTCTCTAATTTCACCACCGACCAGTACTTTAAAGCAATTTTATAGATAGCCACTTCACAACGCAAACCAATCCAATGGATGCATTTAACTATCCCTGGGGCTCATAAATTTCACTGAATTTCCCATCAATGTACAGATTAATAATTTCCTTCTTCTCCTATAGAAAATGCCAGAAGGTCAGCAGTGAGAGGGAACAGGAGGTAATAGTGTGACCAGACTTTAAAGCAGATTTAAAAATCTACAAGATAAAACTTAAAGACAGTGACACTATCACTAAAGATATGGACAAAACGCCAAGAACTGTTAACACTTCATTTTATTCCTTATCTGCCCGTCCCTCTTCCCACCCCCACCACCAAACTTGTAAAATTTAATACCCAATGAATAAGTGAACAGATTCAGAAGCACTACAGTCAAATTACATTTTTTTAGAGAGTCAATTTTTATAGTCTAATAAATTGCCAAAAGGTCAGGATAAACATTTTGTGCCCGAACACATATGGATTACTACTTTCCCTAGTAGCAATGGAATGCTAAAAAGGTAGAAGAGGCAAGAGTAATACAAAGTTTCTAATTTTCAACTGAATGTGCATGTTTTGATTATTTGGGAGCCATGATTTTTAAATACAAGACACTGAACCTATACTATCTTCCACATTAGTGCACATGTTTGTTAAATAAGGGCATACTCAAAACTCTCCCTCAGCTATTTTTAGCAACCTATATATTGAAAGTGGACAGTCATCTCTCAGGTAAATACATTAGGTTAAGGAGAAGTGCTTGGTTTGAAATTCAAGAAAACGGGAAGGAAATATGCCAAGAATGTTACGAGATTTTTTTTTTTAATCCACCATTTTGGTCAAATATTTTAAGTAAACTCTGTATTAAAAAGTTCCACTTTAGAGCATCTTCCCCTTAAAGGTGTCAGTAGGAGCCTTGTTTAAAATAATAATCGAAATACTGAAAATTGAACACTTCTGAAATCATGAGGTTGAAAATACCAAAACAGTTTATTTCGTATACTTTTTTCCCTAACATACAGAACTCAAGCAAGTTTTTATATTAAATTTCCTTGTAATTCTAAAACTGAGATGAAGCGTGTCTACTGGCCAGATAGGAGCCTCAAGGGATTCTCTTCACATAGCCACAAAGATGCAACAGTATCCAGAATGGGCACATTTAGGGGGACTGTTACTCAAGTCCCCCTCTCCTTTGAGCATGTTATTTTGAGTGTAACTATTTCTCTTCTTTCCTTTTTATCCCCTTTTATCCTGTATCTCTTCCAACCTAATTAGCCATAAAGTAGTATTACAATATATTCCAAGGTTTAGGATTTTGTTTCTTTTTTAGCAATACTATTTTCTGTATTTATAAAAATGTTTTCATTCTCTTTCTTAAAGCCTCTCAAAAGGTATTTTTTTTTTTTTAACTTTTTCTCTCCACAGGGTCTAGACCAGTGTGTTCAAGAGAATTACAACGTGAGCCATAAACAGGAGCTACATATGCGAATCTTCTAGTAGTCACATTACAAACTAGTAATAGGTTAGATTAATTTCAATAATTTATTTAGCCAAATATAGCTTAAAAAATTATCATTTCAGTATAATCAATACAAAAAAATTGATGATACAGTACTTTGCTTTCCTATTTCATTACAGATCTTCAAAGCCTCACGTGTATTTTATACTTCACACTTCGATTCAGACCAGCCACATTTCGAGTGCTCAATGTAGCAATGACTACCATATTACACAGCACAGGTCTGGACAAAAAGTCCTGCCTAATTACTAAGTAACCTGAAAATGCTTTTAAACACAGAACTTCTAAGAAGTTCCTTCTATAAAAGAAATCTTTTAACTCTTAAATGAGTATCATGAGAAACTTCAAATGAAAATACTTAGTGTCTTGTTTATAATTTTTAAAATGTAAATAAGTTAAAAGGTAGCAAAGACACTAAAATTTAAGGTTGCCAAATTAGAAAGTTAAAGTAGATCTTATTTAATAAAACAAAAGAAAGGGAACAAAAGGGAAAAAGTCATGATGAGGGTTCATAAAAAATACTTGAATTACATTTTTAAAACTTAGATGAGCTTAGAAATTTCATACTTCTGTACGTCTCAAGATTTTCTTTTTACAACCTCCTCCCTAAAAAGTGATCAGAATTCTCTTCAAGAACATACCTGATTTTTGGCTGCAACTCCAATTGTTCTATTTTTTGATCCAAATGATATAACTGATCTAGAAAATACACAAACAAAATGTTTCAAAAATGTTAAAATGCATAAATGAAGACATTTTAAACTGACAGGAGGGAAATTCTACTATAAATTTCCTACTCAAGCCGGAGGTGGACAAGTGTAGCACAATTTTGGAGTCTATAGCTTCTGTCACATACTCAAAGGGGACTTCCACATAACTGCTGTTCTGAGAACCCAATCTAGGTGGCATTCCTACCATCCCAAATGTCTCAAGTGTAATCCTCCAGGTCCCCAATTATTAGGAAGTCAATATTAATTCTGAAAATGTTTTCAATAATTAAAGGGTATGTATTATTAACTTGACCCCACACATGGCTAACAAAAAATGTGATGTAAACTCTACCTTTTTAAATATTTAGATTTATACAGAGTCATCAATTCTGTACAAATCTAAGTATCATTGTGTACTTATTTTTGTCCCGATACACTACCTGCCTCTTTAGGAATCGAAAGTTTTTATGTAAACTCAAGCAAGTGAACCTAAGTTATATCTCTGGAGTTTAAAGAGCACAAAAGAGGTTCTTATCTGGAAGACTGTATTTGATAAAGTCCAGTAAAAATGATGCAGAAAAAGTACCACAGCAGAATGGAATATAAACATTGAAGAGGGAATAATCACTTATATTAAATCTGTTTTAAAGAAATGAAAAGTGATTTGTAACTGTGAGACAGCCTTCTCGGCAATGGAAAATGGAATACACAGTAACACAGAGCAGAGACAAGCTCAAGAAAAGTCTTCTGAGGAGGAGGTAAGTGAATTAGGTTTTGGATTAGAGGAGTGAGTTAATTTCAGATTACTAATCCAAATGTAATCTAATTGTAGATTAGTTACTCCTACCCAGGCAGGTAGGAGTAATGGTAAATGAGATGAGCAAAATTGGAATATACTGGCAGCATTAAATACCAGGCTAAATAAAGTTTAAATCTGCTGTAACAGAAACACCCTGAACCTACATTATCTGAGCAGGTGCTAAATAGCATCCTAGAAGGGAAGTGTCCAAGCAGAGGACCTTTAAGAAACCGTCTAAAAACAGAGTATCATGCTAAGCTTAGAGTAACTATACACTTGCAGAATAGATCTTCTCATTTTTCCAAGAGGAGAATCAAATTAATTGTATTAAACAGGAATTAAGACTCGCCAATGCAACTGAGTCAACCAAATAGTTAACAAGCACGTGAAGGGGAACTCCAACATTGCCCTCGGTTTACGTATTTCAGAGCCATATCTGTTGTCTTTAGTTTCACACAGTCGTCTCTATATCCACGTAACACAATTTCTTCCCTACTCTCCTTTAACAACTCTCTTTCATTGAATGTAAGAAAACACAGATGTAAACCCCACCTAGGCGTGAAAACTGAAACACTCTTTTCTTTCTTACTAAATTCCAATTACAGAGCCTTTAGCACAGCGAAAGAAAGACTTAGAGCTGCAAAGAGGTCAATCTATGGGTTGCTCGGGAGAACTGTCTTCCCATGTTACTAACATTGACAAATACTTTATTTTCTAATTTTCCATTAACTTTCAATAAACATTCATCTGCACGCAAGTAATTTTATCAGCCCATTCTGCCTTTGGGTTCAACGTTTTACTTTGACACTTTCCAGCTGGGTCTTAGGGCATTTGGAAAAAAAGAATACCTACGGTAATTTCTTTGGGAAAGAAGTAGTTTTCATTGATGCACATGCAAGGTACGGTTATATATACGTGTATATTTACATATACACACACACACACACACACACACATCCTACATGCGGGTATATTTTTATATATACACACACGTTCTCTCTTCAGAAACTAACCACCCTCAAAAGTTGCTTTTTAAAAGGTTGTCCTTTGCCCACGCCATGCTGCTGTAGAATTTAACGTGTAAAGCAGTGACAACATCCATCCTCTTAGGGCGTTCTAGCACAAAACTATGCGATTTTTATTGTCTCTTTTTGGTAAACTGTTCAAAACAAATAAAAATATGGTCTAGGATTCGTCATGAATGGCTCTCGCACAACGAGCAAAAAAAAAAGGTGATTTACATCTTTCGAAAACGATCCCGGGCACCAAGGACAACAACGTTGGAAACCAAGAGACTGGGTAAGAAGAGATGGATTAATCTTTCACAGAAGCGATTCTGTGGTTGCTAACAACAGTCCGCCAGCTCGCCGGACAAGCAGCGGGACAGAGGCTCTAGAAGCTTCCAGTTCATTTCGAGATTCACAATGCGGAGGAAAGAAAGCTCGGCGGCCCTGGCTCCGCGGTGCGCAAAGAAATGCGCGGAGGGAGGGCGACGAGCTGGGGGCGGCTCAGGCAGCTCAGAGAAGCCGGGTGGAGGAACGGGGGCGGCCGCGGAAGGCGCAGGCTGCAGCTTGCCAAGAAAGGGGAGCGAGTCCCGGACTTTGCCTCAGCCCGGCTCCCAGGAGGAAGCCCGCCCGAAGGGACGACCCTGGGAGGCTCGACTCTCGGACACCCCTCGCCCCCGGACATCCCCAGGACACCCCCTCTCCAATTTGGGGCGCAAGCCCCACGCCCCTCTTTCTGGGAAAGGTCCCGCCCGGCCGGGTCGCCGCGCCCCACAACGCCTTCGCTCGCCGCGGTGTTCCGTAGCCAGCCCGCGAGCCTGGGGTCCCCACGCTCTCCAGGCCCCCCGCAGACTGCCACTTACGGGGTACACCGGTCGCTGAACTCGTTGGCGATGGTCTCGATGCCCCCGGCCCGGGCCACCGCGATGTAGCAGCTCTGCGAGCCCACGTCCAGCCCCACCACCGACATGGCCGGCTCACGGTCCGCCTCCGCCTCGGGTCTGGGTCTGCGTCGCCGGCCGCCCGCCTGCTCCTCCGGCCGCCGCTTCCTTCCTCGGTCGCGTGCGGCTTAGCCCGCGGGGTCTGCCCGCTCCTCTGTCACTCGGATGGACTCAGGGAGAGTCGGCCTGTCAGGCGTCTCAGCTTCCCCGGGGACAGCGGCGGTGGCAGAGGATTAACCCTGGGCTCGCTCCGCAGCTCGGGCTGACTGCCGGCCTCACTCCGCCGCGGCTCGCACACCAGCGCCGGCGCCGATCTACCGACCCAAAAGGGGAGGTCCCAATTCCTCAGCTTTATGTATCGCACTGATGAGAACTTTCCAGAATCTGCGGCATTTACTCACCGGCGCCTCCACCGGCCCCTCCACGTGCCACTTCCGCTTCCTTCTTCTCGAGCCTTCTCGAAAGATTCTAACCAATGGGTGCCTGGTCCCCCTGAGAACGGCCGCCGTTGCCATGGTGGCAGGAAGGCCGCTCCCGCGCCATTGGTTCAAGCAGCCCAAGTTGACCTGCCTCCGCCTCCACCCGCCCTAGGTAGAGGCTCTTTTCTTTCCTAATATAACAGGCAATGAAAAATGACTCGAAAACTCGTAATATTCACAATTTACTATTGGGCAGTGGTGTCTGACCCCTAGACTCTAAAGGGAGATTGAGCGAGTGGAGATACACCGCCCTACTTCTGCGTGAGACCCCAGACCCCAGGTCGCTGGGGAGGCGGCCGACTGTCAAGAGAGCATGGTGGGAATTGTAGTCCGGCTGGGAGACGCGGGCGCCGTGCATGCTGGGATGTGTAGTCCTGGCCCCGGTGCATGCTGGGATCCTGCTTTGTCTTGGGGGACTCGAGGGAGAGGCTGGGTTCTTTCCAGGGCGTTTGCGCGCGTTCTCTGGCAATAAACGTCATTTTGTTTGGTATTCGCTTCTATTATTGTCTGGATCACCACAACTGGTGCATTACGACTTAGAAGAAGAAACGTCAGTGTAAACCGCTTATAATAAGCAGAGGGTTTATGTTAAGTGTTCGTGTATTCATCAGCCGGCAGGATGTTCTTTTGTGGAATAAAATGCATAGTTTTTTTGTTTTTTTTTTTTTAAAGGAGTTTTAAGTTGTGACATAATGTGGAAGGCTGTCCACGGTATTACTTACTGGCTATTTTTGATACGCCTGATTTAAGCCTAGCCTGCTGTCCCTAGCCATAAATTAGTACGTAAGTTTTGCTTGTTTGATATGAAACATCTTTTGTTTCTTTCCGTGAAAAGCCATGTCCCCACTAGCTTATGTTCAGTAAAGAGACAAGCAAAGTAAGAAAAGTAGAACTGTGCTGCTGATATTATCAGGTCTTTCATACCCTTTTGTGTCTTTTTAAGTTTGCTTAGGATCCTGTTTACCTTACTTCAGACACATGGAAATAAGCCCAGTTCAAACACGTTATTGGGTAATTGGATGAGGAGTTGTGACTAAAGTTAGAAAAATCTGACTCATGTGGCAATTCCTCCTTGTCCAGCAAGACAAGTAGGTTAAGAGGCAAGGCAAGTGAGAGGCAAGGCCAGAGGCCGGGGTTTATGTTACAGTGCATGTAAATTGTATGTGTTCTTTGATGGCCTGCCACTTGGGCAAGGTACTTAACCTTAAAATGCTTCAGTTAATTCGCCTTTAAAATGGGAACGGTTATAGCAGCCATCTCGGGGGGTTGTGTATTCTTAAGTTTGGGAATATGGTTAGCTACAGCTATGGTTAGCTATAAACATCTCAAACACTGCGTCTCCTTCCCCATGCACCACAGACTCTTTTACACATTAAAACCTTATATTAAAATCTGTGGAATCATAGCAGTTTTGAACAGAAAGGACCTTTAAGATTATTTGGTCTGCCTCCCACATTTTATATGAGGAAACTGCTGTGCAGAGAGGAGAAATGAGCAGTCTTTGGAGCCAGACAGATTTGGGTCAGATTCAAATCCTGGCACTCACTACTAAGACGCTTTATATAAAAGAGCACCAGCCCTCCTGGAGTCAAAATTCATGGGCTTGAATCCTGGCTGTTCTTATTAATTTGTGAGCTATGTGACCTTAAGATAATTACTAATCCTTCCTGTGTTCCACCTCATAGTGTTTATGTAGTGATGGAAAATGTATATAAGGCACTAAACGTACATCATTATTATGTCTTAATAATATTGCCTACATACTGTCTGTGTATTCTTTGACAAATTCCTCTTTGCCCTCAGTTTCCTCAACTGTAAAATGGAAATAATACCTATTTTTGCTGGGATTTTGGAAGGATTCAATATAAATAAAACATGGTAGTAAATAAAGTATGATAGTAAGCATTTGATATATTGTAGTAATAGTAGTAATACTGTGCACGAAATGCCAGTACCTGAACGTCAACCTCAGCTCACACTGTGGTAGATGCTGAGTTGTATAGTCATGTTATAGCCGCCTCCTGTTTAATTGGTTCACCTTAACTATTTAGCAGAACAGGTGAGTGATGAAAGAGTGTAAGAACTATCACAATTATTATCTAATTAAAAATTCTTATCATTACTTTATAATTTTGTATATTTTTATTACATTTTTATTACAGTTTCTCACACTATTTAGGTCGTTGTATCAGAAAATTTACAAAGAAACTTAGACCAGGTAGAAACGGTCCCTACAAATTCTTGTTAAGCAAATTTATGGATCCAAAGGTAAATACAGAATTAAGATGAGCTTAATCTGTCTGCTTGCAGCTACTATTGCAATTATTGGGTTTTATTCACATTTGTTTTAGAGAGCAAGAAGGTTCTCAACATTGGAAGCAGAGACAGCTCCCAAAGAACAATAAAACAAAAATGCAAAACTGAAAGAAGAGAAACCCAAACAAAAATGCCCTTCAAAGAGATAATATACAGTAGATATAAAAAAGCTGTGACAGGCTTCCCTGAAAGGAAGGACGAGATGGGCAAAGGAGTGAATATGTAGACAGAGTAATAAACATGAACGTGCACATGACCTTCAACTTCTGTCATGAATCAGTATTTTGGTGACTTCTGTATCCAGCATAATGGGAGGTGCTGGAGGGTTACAGAAGTGGTATAAAACTTGTTCTAAATCAAGATGCATTTTGTTGGCTTCTGTAAAATGCCAGTACATCATGAATTCTAAGGTATCTGAAATCTTGTCTGTTTGAGCCTCTTTTGATATTTGCTTACCAAAGGATTTTTGTTTTTTTCTTATATAGTAACTTAAAATGTGTCCTTTACAAGTTAATTTGTTCTGCTAATACCTATTTTGTCCTTATTTTAATTTGTTTTAGAATGATCATCTAAAAATAGAAATGCATAAGGAAAATTATGCGGGGAACAGAGACTTATACAAAGGTAAACATAGGCTGGGCACAGTGGTTCATGCCTGTAATTATAGCACCTTAGGAAGCCAAGGCAGGAGCATTGCTTGAACTCAGGAATTTATCACTAGCCTGGGCAACACAGCAAGACTCCAGCTCTACAAAAAAATTTAAAAATTAGCCAAGCATGATGGTGCACGCCAGTAGTCCTAGCTATTTGGGATGCCTGGGTGGGAGGATCCCTTGAGCCCTAGAGTTTGAGGTTGCAGTGAGCTATGATTGTGCCACTGTACTCTAGACTGGGCAACAGAGTGAGACCCTGTCTCTAAAAAAAATAAATAAAAGGTAAGGTAGAAGAAGTAGAAGTAAGGTAACTTTATCCTGTCTGCTAGCAGCCAGGATATAGGAAAAATATATGAAATGTTTCTTCCAATGTAAAAAGGAGCATCACATTTATTAATATAACAAATATGGCTAACAACTCAATGTGTAGGAAAATGTTCATGGCTGCCCCTCCAAACTCACTGTGAACCACTTTCCCACTGGAACACCATGCTCAGGCACACCGGCCACCTTTCCCATGTAAAGGTTTTGCATTGGTTCCCCTGCCTATAAAGTTCTTTCTCAGGCTCTTGGCTAGAGCTTTCAAGGCTCAGTTCAAATGTGCTTCCCATAGAGAAAGTTCCTGAATGCTCACCCAGTAAGCAAGTTACCTTTCCCAAAGGTACACCTGTTTCTTTGTTCAGTTATTAAGAAGCTGGTGCCAGCCTTGGCTCCAAGGGTGATCACTAACTGGCTTATGCCAGTCAGCACATCTCATTCCCCTTGGCCACAGTCATGGTTATAAGGACAGGCACGTGACCTAGGCAGCCCAATCAGGGTGACTCTCAGGCTTAGAATGCCGGGATATGCTTTGCCCCTCTCCGTCCCCTTTCCTTCGCCTCCCTCCATCCTTCTTCTTCCAGGCACTGTTGTCTGAGATTATGAGGCCCAGAACCATCACAATGACCTTACTACCTTCCTGAAAAGGAAACTGACACACAGAGGGGGACAGAACTGAGAAAATTACAGCTGGAGCTGAAGACATAAGTCAGTCCTGAGACCCACCCTTACTCTGGATTTAAGAACCATACATTTCCTCACTGTGTAAGCTAGCTTGAATTGGGGTTTCTATTATTTGACAACATTATTGAAAGCATTTCTGTTACTCTCAATTGTTATCCATTTATTTCCTTCACAACGTACACCACAATAAGTAACGATCTTGGCATGTGTGCGTGCGCACATGCACACGTGTGCCCGCATGTGTTTTAATTCCTCTCTCTGAATTGTAGACTCAGAGGGCAGTGACTGTTTTTTCCTTTACAGTGCCCTATAGATGCTCAATAAATATTTGTTGAATGATTGAATGAAAAAACTATTGAATAAACTTACTGGGAAAAGGGCCATTTATCAGCTTTCCTCTAATACAGAGTTTCTGAACCTTGGCACTGTTGACATCGGGCTGGACAATTTTTTGTTGTGTGGGCTGTTCTGTGGGATGTTTAACTGCATCCCTGGCCTCTACCCACTAAATACCATTAACAAGGTCCTAGCTCTTCCCTCGTCCCGTGTGACAACCAAAAACAACTCTAGACATTGCAAAATGTCCCTAACAGACAAAATTGTCTCTGGTTTAGAGCTACTGTTCTCAATCTATAAGTTTTGATTTAAGCCTGATCCAAAAAGGGCATAGTTTGAGGACTTGTTTTTGAGATGAAATGGAGTGCTGTTTGATTTCTGAACCACAGAGGCTAGGAGATGGGAGAACGATAACCCAGCTCTGAATGAGTCAGACAACTCCAGCCTGCATTAGATCCTATAAGAGAGGAGGGACACAGGTCTCCCATTTGGCTACAGGGCATGCCCACTGTTGTGAAAATGTGCACTGCTCACTCCGACAAGATAATCTTCGCTGTGGTTGAAAAGTATTTTTGTGGTTATAAATGATTTCCTCCAGAAATGTACACATAACTCACTGTTTTCCTTTGTCTTAGCTTCCTTACTTA